GATTAAACTCTTGCACCCTGTTGTGGCCAATCCGTATACCCTTTTGACTACACCTTCCAGTGAACAGACATGGTACACTATAATTGACCTTAAAGATACCTTCTTTTGCATCCCCTTGGCAAAGGAAAGCCAACCCTATTTTGCTTTTGAGTGGGAAGACCCAGACACCTCAAATGCCAACTCACATGGACTCATCTTTGCCAAAGCTATCGCAACAGTCCTATAGCTTTTGCCGCTGCCCACACTCAGGACTTGTGTGACTTCTCTCCTGGGCAGACCACCCTCCTCCAATACATAGATGATCTCATCATTGCTGGCCATGACCAAGAACATACCAATGAGATCTCTGTAAGGTTGCTAAATCACCTTGACCAGAAAGGATACACAGTGCCCAAAAAGAAAGTGCAATGGGTGACGAAAGAAGCAATGTTCTTAGAGAAGGCAAAAGACTCCTCCACTCAAGTTGCCTACATGCTATAGCTTCCCTCCAAGTACCTAAGAACCAGAGACAGTTAACTTTCCTGGGGATCACAGGCTATGCCCAACTTTGGATCCCCATGTATTCTTTCCTTGCTAAACCTTTGTACCAAGGCCTGGGACTGGACCAGTGAACACCAATGGGCCTGGGACACTCTGAAGCAATCTCTAGCCATGGCCTCCAACTTGGCCCTACCTGATCAAAACTGTGGGTTTGAATTATTCTTGACTGAACAAAAAGGGTGTGCCTTAAGTGTTCTCCTTCAGAAATTAGGCCCTGAAAAGGTCCCAGTTGCCTTTCTATCAAAGGGACTGGACAACATGGTGAAATGATGGCCCATATGTCTGCGTGTCATTGCTACTATGGCTGTTTTGGTCCAGGAAACTCAAATGATCATCCTTGCAGCTCCCTTAAATGTCTATACCACTCACTCAGTACAGACCTTGTTAGAACAAAAACTCCCCACATGGACCACCTTGAACCAAGTTTCCTATTATATTAGTCTTATATTGGAACAAGAAAATGTGCAACTATATCGCTGCAATCGGTTGAATTCTGCCACTTTGCTGCCGCTCACTCCTGACCCCAACTGGGAGCCACATGATTGTCTCGGAGTCCTAGAAGAAGTTGTTGAAATCCGAGCTGATCTGAAAATCGAGCCCCTGCAACACCCACATAGCCAGCTTTGGACAGATGGTTTATCGTTCATGAGGAATGGGAAAAGACATACAGGTCTAGCAGTTGTGACAGAGGATGGCCCCCTGCTTATGCAGCAGCTCCCCTCTCACTACTTGGCTCTGGCTGCAGAATTAAGGGCCCTCATCGAGGCCTGCTGACTGACTGAAGGACAGCGTGTTAACATCTATACAGACAGCCGCTATGCTTTCCTCACTGCTCACACTCACACTGTACTATGGAAATCCTGTGACTTCCCAGGGCAGATGGAAAGACCTTGAAAATGAAGCCCCTCCTGGAAGAGAGCTTGTTGCTGCTGTCATGGGACCCAAGGAACTGGCCATAATTCATTGCAAAAGTCACCAATCAGATGCCAGTGAAGTTGCCTGAGGAAACCGTGCAGCTGATCATTTGGCCAAACAAGCAGCTTTGCTAGGGTAACGAACCAGCAAAGGAGCTGGTCTCACTGACCCTGTCTGAAACATGCCTCCCCTATATGACCAATGGGATAAGTTGCTTCCAGGGGGAAAGTGGGAGAATGGATGGTAGGTTGTGAATGGCCGGGTGCAACTTCCCCGCAGTCTGTTTTGGAAGGTGGTCAAAAGAAGCCACCAAGCCTCCCATTCAGGACCCTGCCTCTTGGGCTTATAACTAAATAATCATTACTGTAACTCAGGCATCAGCAGGCATGTAAAACAGTTGTGTATCAATGTAAGGTCTGTCAAAGAAACAATCCCAGAGGGGAAAAAGCCATTTCCCCCAGGCCATATTCGGACTGTCAGATACCCAGGAGAAGCCTGGCAGATTGATTTTACTGAGATACCCAAGTCCAACTTGCTCGTTTTTGTGGATCTCTACACAGGATGGCCAGAAACCATCCCAACAGCTACCCAAAAGGTCCGAGAAGTAGTGCAAGGGTTGGCTGAAATTGCAATACCCAGGTTTGGAGTGCCCAAAGGCCTAGAATCTGATAATGGCTGGCACTTCACCTCTGAAATCACCCAAGATGTCATTAAGTTGCTCAACATCCCATGACATCTTCAGTTGGCCTACCGGCCTCAAGCCTCAGCTAAGGTTGAACATATGAATAGAACTCTCAAAAACCATGTAGCAAAACTCTGCCAAAAAACTAGCCTACCTTGGCCCAAGATTTTACCTGTTGCCCTCACTTGCATAAGAGCCCTACCCTCAGGGAAACTCACCCTTTCCCCTTTCAAAATATGACCTTTGTTACCACCTTCCAGATGAGCTGTGATGTTGGGGAAAAGAATGTGACTAAATATTTGTATAATCTGGCACAAGTGTTATTGTCTATCTCTAAACAGCATCAAGCTGCGCTGCCACTAGACAACCCACCGCTTGCTGAACCTGGAGAGTGGGTCCGAGTCAAAGAACTCTCACTTCCATTGGTCGATCCAAAGTGGTCCAAGCCTCAACAAGTGCTGCTCAGCATCTCTACTGCAGTAAAGGTTGAAGGGTTAAAGGTGTGGGTCCATGGATCGAGGATAAAGATGGCATAATCTCCATCTTTTCAGTGGCAAGCTCAAAGCTAGACGAACTCAAATTGAAACTCCTTAAAATTTCGGCATCACCTGCTGACTTGTTCTCACTCTCTGACGAGCTAGACAACCACCCGAATCATGCATTGGACTCCGTTTGAAATAATCTGCCTTGTTTCATTGTGCCTTTCAGGCTCAGTTGCCTTGCGTTGTTATTACTTACTTCCCCCATACCTTCTTTGAAAGAGGGAAGGATGGATCTGATCTTTGGCATGGCCATACTGCTTGTCTTAATGCTTTTACTCTCAAGGTGGTAAGATCTACCAAATCCCCAGTTGATTGTTCTGCTTGTACCAGATTATTACCAGATAGGGGAACAAGCTGATATACCATATTCAGATGAACTGCAAAAAGGTTATTGGGACACGTGTCCATAATACTACCCAATTTTCCCTTTGTAATGATACGGGAAAAGCAACATGAGTTGATCCCTCTAGTGTAAAATACCAGAAAACCATCCAGGTTCTAGCATTCCAAAACGGGAAGAGTCAGGGACTTCTATTAGGACGAAATAACAGCACCTCCACTAGTCCCAAAAGCCAGATCTGCTTTGATGCCTGCTATACCTTAAAGTTCAGTCCTTGGGCCACCTGTTGGGACCTAAGCTGGCAACAAAGCTATCTCATACAAAGAATATATGTTTTCAGCTTACAGCAACAATGGTACCTCCCAGACCCATTGGTATACAAATGATAGCCACCCCCCAGGATGTGGCCAGGGCAGAACAGTTGGTTTAATATAACCAATGGTATTGGAAAATCTGATTGCTCAGAAGATATTGTACCCCTGTATGCTTGCATTTTGTGGACCCCAAAGAAGGATCCCAAGAATGCGGAATAGGAATTGAGAGTACAGGAAGGAACCCAATTACTTATATCACCATCAATATAACTAAAATTAATCTGACCCCAATAGAAAAGAGACTGTTCCATTCCTTTTATGAGGAATTGGAAAACAAAATTGAAATTCCTTCTGTTACCAAGAACCTTTTTATTGATTTAGCAGAATGAATAGCTGGTTCTTTAAATGTCACCAACTGTTATGTTTGCGGGGGGACCAACGTGGGAGAACAGTGGCCATGGGAAGCTAGGGAGCTTAACATATCCAGTGTAGATTGTTTGAACCTAATGTGGACTGCTCTTGACCACCCTCCATGATGAGTAACTCAAATGCCCATCATTGGTCAGCTCTGCTTCTCAAGAGAAGAGTCTGAGACCTTTTCCTTAAAAGTCAGAGTGTCTACATGTGAAAGTATGGTTGTGGCTAACAATACTAGCTCCACCTAGTGCCTAGTGGAATGGACCAATATAACCTAACTACCCAACTATGCCCCTAGTTTCTACCAGATAGCAGTAAGCATACTGCCAATTTTTAAAAAAAAGGGGGGGGGAAATGAAGCAACTTTTGTACACTACGCTTGTGCAGGAAACACCTAACAATTGTTTCTTTGCTGCTGTGTGCAATTGCGACTGGGCAAGACACTGTATAAAAATGAAGCTTTTCCCCCCCTCCAGGTGTGGGTCTTCCCTAGCACACTGTTGCCCATGTGCCGGGAGGTTGTCCACCCAGCTTCTTCACTCAGCTGAATAAAGAGCTGTTTTCCTGCTCCTGAACCCTCCATCTGAGTTTCTCTTTTGGCTTGTGAGGGTGTCAGATTTTATTCACCAACAAACCTTACACATCCTTCCGAGGTCAGTAAAATGAGGACCCAGATTGTTGCAGGTAATATGCTGACTCTGTAAACCCTTAGAGAGGGCTGTAAAGCACTATGAAGTGCAATATAAGTATTGCTAGTATGAAAAAAAATTAAACTACAAGTTAATAAGATTATCCGAGTGGTGATCCTTTAGGGTTTCTTCGTGTAGTCTTTTATTTGGATTTGTTTGTCTTAATTTTCTAGGAATTAAAGTGAAGGAAAATTACATTTATAAACAGGTTTACAAATACCTTGTTTTGAGCAGAATAGCTGTCTGACAGCAATATAGTGATCATGTGTAAAATGAGGTCAATGCCTTTAAGATTGTGTTCTTTATCATTTAAGAGACAGATCTAATTGAGCCAGTCAGCTTAAACCACTCATTCTTCAGCAGCAAAATTGCATTTATTTTTGCACAGATATCAAGGAGCATTGAGGGACTGCACAAACAGCAGGGCTTTGAAATGCAATTGGTTGCTCTCGACTTGACTCAGGCATGTAGGCAGTTGGCACAGCAACAGCACATTCACTTTTCCAGGTTCTAGGAAACTGCGCAGGAAAAGTGGAATGGAGTGGCGGGTCTTTTCTGCCTTTAGGGGACACAACTGATTTCTCTAAAACGACGGCATTTCATCACTCGCAGGAAGGTCTCCACTTTGTGCAGGTCTTTCCTGAAGCAGGACAAGAGATTGTAGTTTTTCAGCAAAGCAGCTTCACTCCGGAGATTGAATTCAAACTTTTCATAGCTGGGTCTAAGCAGCTGAAGGCTTTGGGAAGTACCATCCTCCACCTCCTGGAAGTAGATGTTGTAAGTGTACAAAAGCATTAAGCATCTCATTCTGCTTCAAAAAAAAAATCACACACAACACACAAATACATCCTCAACTCAGATTTACTAGGAAATTAAGATAATTTATAATAATGTATAATTTCTGATATATTTAATGTAATGACTTCTATATAGTTACAATAAAATATAAATTTTATCCAATATAATTTATAATAATAATTTATAATAATGTAATTTGTAATATACTAAGTACTAAGCCTAAGGATTGGGACATACTGTGTTTTTATGATTTTGTGTACTTCCTGTTTTATGAACATAAAAGGAATAGTGATCCTGTAGCTGCATCATTGTGACCCTCTGAACTCCATTCCACCATAGTCCATGGGTGGGTGCACAACCATGGGTGGGTGACAGAATTCCCACTTTTCCCAATCTCGGGGAAGCATCTGAATATAGTATGAGCTCCATATTGTTTAGCAACTTTTGAGTTCTGGACTAGGAGGTCAAGGGCTGTGCTGGTTGCAGATTAATGGGAGAGTTAAAGATGTCTGGAAGACACTGAGTTGAATAACTATAACAATAATTATGAAGGTCTAATCTCATTCTGCAGATTCTATGATCATTGAACACATTTTGGGGTTTATTTTTTTGCTCTTAAAGAATACTGTAAATCCATATACTATCAGTTACAATCTCAAAATCAGGTAATTTTCTTTATCCTTTATTAATAACCCCATTTTTCTAGTGTTGATAAATCATTCAGGTCACAGTTTTATACAGGTAGTCTTCAACTTATGACTGTAATTGAGTCCAGAATTATGATTGTAAGTCATGCTGGTTATTAGGTGGGTCATCACGTGACCAACCTGATTTTACTTTTTTTTTATGGCAGTTAAGCAAACACAAAAAGCAAGCCCATTGTGCAAGCAATCCGCCTCTCCCCGCCCCGCCCCCCCACAAAAAGCAGTGTTTTTTTTTCCTTGCTGGAACCTGGAAGTAAATGCTAATTCCCACAAGAAACATCATAAATTGCAGGGACCTGACAACAGAGTGCTGAAAGGCTGTAAATGAGGACCGTTTGCCAAGAGCCCAAAATGCGGTCATGTGACCAAGAAGCGAGCAGCCATTGGAACTTTGAATCTGGATCATGAGAATCTTTTTGGTGATACATTGTACCCTCAAATGGTCACTAAGTGACTGGCCATAAGTCAAAGACTACTTATAGTTTTCTCTATTTCTATATTTTTCTAGTGTTGATAAATCATAATAGCAAGGCTTTCTCAATGGAAGGTAATAATCTTGAGGGCTGGGATTGTTCTGATTTTATGCGTAGAGAGGTCTGTCTTCTCTAATTTCATAACATTAGCCAGGTGGGACAGCACAATCTGTGATAGTATGTAAAAAGCTCTCCTTGGGAGGGATTGCTTACCCTCATAAGAACTTGGATACCTTGTTCCAAGTCCTGGAGTTTTTCGTAGACTCTGTCGGAGGTCCCAAACACAAGACTGTTTGTAAACATCCTGCTTAGAAACCGTATAGGATTTAGCCAGGACTGAATGAGAATCAGTGAAAACCTCAGCAGTTCCATGTCCTAGAAAAATAGATACACTTTAAAAAAGCAGTTTTAAAACTTTGGATTTCTGTCCTGACCTCTTAGAGCTCAAAGGAAGAGAGCAAGGACAGTAGCCTTCTGATGTCTGTCTTAAGACAAATGGCAATAGAAGTTCAACAGGCAAGAAAAATTCCAGCCAGGGCAAATTGTCTATTTTCTGATCAGTTCCTTGAACCTGCTTTAAACTTAGTTTCTTGCTAAACAGCAGTGATACACTTTCCATTATTGGAGAGGACATGTATGGACAGTAATAGATAAAAATGCTTCCTGGGTGGCTTTTAGATTTTTATAGATAGAATATGTCTCCTTGCTTCTATGAAAGCATGACACGTAAAACTAATCCATAATACGATCTGATTTCTTTTTGGCTTAATGTGGAAGCTTCTCTATATAGGAAATAATTGCTTATAAGCCACAGTGGATGGGTTTTTATATATTTAATTAAGCCAAAAACAAACAGCGTTCTTGCCTACTTTAGGTATGATATTGGTTAAACGAAAGAAGCAATAAGGAGAAAATTTGCAGAGATACCATTAGCAGAGTAGCATGTTCTATGATGGATTGGCATAATATGACTGAGTTCACCATACAAAATCATAATCTATGTTTGCCTTTAACCATGTGCTGTATGAATCCAGACTTGTGATTTGTTAAGCATGACTTTAGCTTTTGGTCTTTCTCAGTGTTGAGTTCAAATGCTATCCAGAAGATCCCTGCATTGACAGAAAAGTACAGTTTGTTTGCAGAAAATGTATTGCCTCTAGTGCTGATCCTCATTCTGACTCACTATTTAATGGTGTTACTCTGATTATGAATATAGCTCACGAAAACAAAATGATAGCAGTTTAGTCTCGTGGCTTTGGTGCCTTCCTTCTTCACATCACTAGTTGATTGGAAAAACAACTATTATTTGTGGAGCAGATTCACACTATTGCCTCTCAAGGTCCTCTTATGTGTGCAATGTCACAAGGAATGTAGATAAGGCGTGAGACTGTGATGTCACCCTCTTACCCTCTTCTCTGAAGCACTGATGTATTCATAGCACTCCAGTTAGAAGAGGAAAGATATAATTTCAGAACTGTTGTACCACTAGGGTCCTTTTTGTGCTGCCTTTTCAAACTGAATAAAGAAGATTGGAGTCATGAAAGGAACTAAATGAGAAACAAAACTTTTGTTTAGCATTCTTCTCCCTTGCCACATTCTTTTTTATATTAGAAACTTCCAGATACTTCGGTGCTGGAAACGGTGGAGGTATGGAAAGAGCTGGTGCCATACAGTGCTTTTTTTCTAAAAAAAAAAAAAAAAAGGTGCCGGAACTCACACATGTCATACAACCCGCCTTGCCTACCGTACAAGGTTCCATCCAAAAAAGGTGCCGGAACTCTGTTCTGGGCGTTCTATGAGAAAAAAAGCCCTGGTCCCATGACTCCATTGTAATGCTACATACAATACTGCTATTTAAGCAGTTTGGTACCATCGTGCAATTGTGATAGACCACTGCCAAGTGCTGCTGAATCAAATTCTTTAGGTGGGGACAAAAGCGGAATATCAGCAGAGGAGTTGGAGCAGACTAGAGAGAGGGGCATGCCTGCATCATCCTGGAGCAGTCCATGAGCATCTTTCTAATCCCACCCACTGTTGGTCCCCTGATTTTACCTCTGATGCATGGGTGATAAAGCATAACAGATTTTACACATTTTATGGCTATTGAGATATGGAAAACTGACCTGTACAGCTTGGGAAGTATGCAGAGATAAAAGACAGCTTAAGTATGTCTTACTTATGGGTTGTGATCAAGATAAAGATACCATCATAAGGAAACATCAGAGGAAAAAAAGTTATTGCCAGGGCATGCAAAAGAGGTATAGCCCATGTCCAGATCCTTGCCTGAATCTTGGCCAAAGATATTTGAAATTTGTAAATGTGATAAAGTGTAGACTTTCTAAATCTCTGTCCTTAAGAAATCAGATCCTGCAACATAGAAATGAGGAATTGGCAGCCCTACAGACGGTTGACTATATTATCTAGTCCCTTTCATTTTTACCTGGGTATCTGATTAGCTCTCTGACTCTTCTCCAATGTTTAGAATACACTTACTGCTATTTGTTTTGTTTTGTTTTTCAAATGAGTATAAAGATTTATTGCAAGCTTCAGCTCTCTACAAGAATCTGAACTACTAAATGGTCAACAGAAAGGGCAGTAGATAATAACAATAACACTAATAATAGAGTTGGAAGGGACTCTGGAGGTCCTCTAGTGCAATCCCCTGCTCAGACAGGAAACCCCACATCACCCCAGACAAATGGCCATCCAATCTCCCCTCAAAAACCTCCAGTGCTGGAGCATCCAAAACCTCAGGAGGCAGGCCGTTCCATTGATTAATTATTCTAACTGGTCAATAAATCCTGATTTGTGTAGGAGATGACCAGTCTGAACTGAGGGAGGGAGGGGGTCAAATGTGTCATCAGTCATGAGTTCCTTCATGCCCACAAAAGATCTAAGTCCAGCCCACTTTGAATTCCTTCTACCCTTATCTACTGTCCATTTCCATTGACTTATCCATTTACTGCTCCTTGTTGAAGATTTCTTGAGAACTTTGTGAAAGTGGGAAGTTTTCACATAGGCAACACATAGGCTATATATCTGGGGCACCAAAATAATTCTTCCATGGAATAAAACATGATAGGAGTCTGCTTACTGTTTTTTGTTGAGTTTCCTCTTTCCTCGTGGGTGAAGGGATAGCTTCAGAGTAACAATATACAGTCTGAGAATTCTTGTTGGAGTATCGCTGCTCTTCTGGGATATAGGAACGCTCCTATATAAGTTCCATAAAATGCCACCATTTACAAAGAAGTAGGAAAGATGAGAGTGTGCAGAGCTTTGAATAACATTATCTGAAAATTCACTAATTGAGCAAAAACATTAAAATCAGAAGCAATGAAGTTCTAATATTACTTGGGAGAGCAAACAGATAGTAAATGTTTCAAAAGACAGCCTTATCTAAAAATTGTTCTGATTTGCGGCAACTCTTAGTTGATATGGTAACGGAAGATTTGAGAAGATATAAAAAATGTAAGGGGGAAAAGCATAATTAAAGTGCTACTTGTCATGCTTTGGATACCTCTTTTTTTAAGTTTTAATATATCCCGCAAGCCTAGGGAATTCCCCATGTTACTTTTAGATGAATTTTACTTTTAGATGTTCTGCTTCCAAACTGCTAAACACTCTAGCTTGCTTTTAGCAGGAATTATGATGCGACCTAAATGTTTAGCTGACCTAAACCATGGACCACTACTCACAAATTCCTTGTAGGTATTTGTTGCAAGCTGATGGAGATGCTGTGCTCTTAGCACAGCATTGGTAAACAGACTGGAGAGTGGTATTGTGGGGAAGGCTCCTCCGTCTGCCCATTGCAGAGCCAAGATAAACAAGCCAATGGTAAGGAAAGAGGAAAGTCTCCTGGTTCCTGCAGAAGAAGGTGAAGGAGGTTGACTTCTTAAATAAAATATTGGTAAGTTCTCCGCTCTAAAGCATAATCAAGCACTAACCCCAAGTTCTTTTCATGACTGGAAACTTACACATGTGCAAAAGACGCACATGCACAAAGATTCCACCTTGCTGATGCTTCAGTTGAGCAGAGCACCAGTTGAGTTTCTGGGTGGCAGAAGCAAATAGGAACCCATGTAAAACAGAAGCACTGCTATACACAACCACACAGAATGCATGATTTGTACATACACCCCCTGTTTCTCTTCAAATTGACCATCCTAATGCTTCTAGATGAGTTGATAAATAGGAGGCTTTACAAGTTGCCTTTGCAGCAGTGTCACACGCTTTTCATATATGCAATTCCTGTTTTCTCCATTTGTTAGGTGAGCATTTTTTCAGATACCTGGATGTGATGAGTAAACCACAATTAGTGGCTATAGAGATTCTCAGTCATCCAGGTCATAGTTATCCCAAAGATGCTTTTTCACGAGGCAATTGGACTTCCTTGTTTTTCTTTGAAAACATTTTGCTTCTCATCCAAGAAGCTTCTTCAGCTCTGACTGGATGGTGGGGAATGGAAAGATTTATACTCCTGCAGACAGCTGTTCATTTGCATTCTTTTAGCAAGTCGTTAAAGCCACCTGGAGGCTTATCTGTGTCTTCAGGGTCACCTGAGTTGTGCAAATGGATGTGGAGCCATCTTGGAACTGTTGAAAGGACTGGGTTGTAGACTGGAGATAGATGATGTCGGATCCCTCCCCCTTTGTTGAGAGAGGGCTGTTCACAGATAAGCCTTCAGGTGGCTTTAACGACTTGCTAAAAGAATGCAAATGGACAGCTGTCTGCAGGAGTGTAAATCTTTCCATTCCCCACCATCCAGTCAGAGCTGAAGAAGCTTCTTGGATGAGAAGTAAAATATCTTCAAAGAAAAACAAGAAAGTCCAGTTGCCTCATGAAAAAGCATCTTTGGGTACAATTAGTGGCATTCTCTGTTTGTTTTTTGTTTCTCCCTTGGGAGAATTGGGTCTAACTGTTGCTTCAGTCTCCATGAAACTCACCAGTATAAAATCTTAAAATATCAATAAATGAAATAAAAATAAATACCCCTTCTAGCTCCCAAATTTAATAACAACCAGGATTGCTGCCTATATTTTGCTTGATAGATATATATCGCATGGAAAATTAGTAAATAAGCATTTTTTTTCAATGTAAATGCTGCACCCACTGAATGGATGCCTTATAGCTATTAAAGATTCCAGCTCTCCATCCATTAAAAAGTAGTAACTTCCCTATTGATGCTCAGAAGCTTACCTGAAGCCATGTCCTATTAGGAAATCACAGAGGTGTTTCACACTTTTCTTGCTGATGCTGTTGATGCTCTGTTCTCAGCTGTTTTTATACACGAATATAATACATATATACACAATCATATGTTTATTGATCTCTGGAAGCTCATCAACATGCACTGAGGCATATACGAAGGGGTAAACCATGTGAATGGGTGAAGCAGGCATGCTGAAACCTGGATTGTATCACTCGGAGGGACTGATGGGGAAATGGTCTCAGCTGTGGCCCCCTGGGCTTTTGGTGGCAGCACCACCACAGGTTTGTAATCATGGAATGGCATATTGATAATAAATTACAATTATCACATTATATACAAATATTCCATAGTTGAGCAATAAAATAATCTGGCAACCTAAACCATCTCCTTAAAAGGTGCCAATTAGAAGAAAATCATCTTGATGCTGAAATTAAGCCCAAGAGCGTTGCTATCATATTCCATGGGAAAAAGAATTTTAGAGAGAGGTACCATCGTAGCAAAGATCATGGCTCCTGTTTCAACCATGCGGTTTCAGATGCTGGTCTAGGAACAAGATCTCAGGAGCTAATCCCCATGAGGTCCTTCAGAAAACCATTTGGGGGGGAGAGAAATGGGGGGGAAGGATTGATGGATCCTTTGAATTGAATTGTGTTCAGAAACTGACCAAACCAACAGTAACCGCAGCAAGAACTGGCATGATCATTTTTGTAGAACCATCCCAGCAAAGACTGGCATTAGAACTTGGGTCTAATGCTCCTGTCTGACTCTCCTCCGATATTAGAATACACTTACTGCACTTTGCTGAAGACTTCTTGGTTCTTTTCAGCACAGGTCCAAGACATTTCATAACTAAAGCAGATTTCAAATGTGCAAAAAATAATAGATTACACCAGTTTCACCCTAACCGTCTCCTTGTCATAGATTCTGCCTCAAGCAGATTGCTTTTAAGAAGGAGGCTTTTAAGAAGAGACTGGAGAGCTATTTGTCTGAAATGGTATAGGGCAGTGGTGGCGAACCTATGGCACAGGTGCCAGAGGCGGCACTCAGAGCCCTCTCTGTGGGCACATGCGCCATGCCCTGGAGATGGCAGCCGTCCTCTTCAACCAGCCACCTGCTAACTCGCTGAGGTCCCACTTGGCCGGATGCATCCCAGTACCCATGCGCTTGCTGGCCTCTGTGTGCGGGGACCAATGGTGTCAGGCAGCAGCCGCCCCAGCCCCTGCCTCGCCTTGCCCTGTGACAATGCACCCCCGCCCTGCCTCACCTTGCCTCACCTCACCCCTCAGGATGAGCCTCCTGTTCACCACCCCACCAGCCAGAGACCCCCAGAATCTCCCCCAACCCTGCCCGGCCCCCATAGGCGTCCCTCCCCAGGAGCAACATTGAGCTGGCCACGCCCACCCAGGCCACGCCCACCCATCTGCCATGGTCACCGTAGCAACACCCATGCAGTCCACGCTCACCCGGCGGTCCATGCCCACCCGGCACTGGGCGATACATAAGTGGGTTTTGGGTTGCAATTTGGGCACTTGGTCTCTAAAAGATTCGTTATCACTGGTATAGGGTCTCCTGCTCGAGTATGGGGTTGGACTAGAAGACCTCCAAGGTCCCTTCCAACTCTGTTATTCTATGTTCTATGCTTTGCATTATTAATGTGTCTGCTTTCCTGCTGAACAAAGTTTTCTCAGCCAAATGGTTTGTTTAATACTGTGTGGGGAAGTATAGATTAATTGATTGTATTAGTAGCCCACCATTCATTCTGGAGGTCTAGGTGAAGGACATAGCTCCCTCTCCTATTTTTCCCATATGCAAACCATTTTCCTACCCAGCAGTCTCCTTGCCTGAATTTATGGAGATGCTCTTGGACGTTCAAGCAGTGCTATTGAGCCTTAGGCTACTGGTCTAGGCTGAGAGTGACATATCAGCAACAGGTTCCACAGCCAAACCTTGGCATCTCCATTTCAAAGGATCAAGTTTCTCTTCTTTCAGTCATAGGAAATGCTTAGACCTCTGGGAACATGTGGCCCTTGGCCAAGCAGCCCTTTGTGTTCCTTGCTGAGCCTGGACAGCCTCACCTACTTCCTAAATCCTACTTTAAGAACGCGTAGCTGTTTCTGCCCTGGGATGCTATGCTTTGCCTTTATATTCTGCCTGGAACCCCAGGAATCATGGCACCATTGGACTGAGTGTAGCTAGCAGGTCAAACTTCTTTGAGGGGACTTAAAGGATGACATACAGACCTTCTTACAAACTGAGAAAAATAAACTTCTTTTTCTGATTATTGTGGTGGTGGTTATGAAATAGTTATTAAAAAGTGGAATAGGTGGTACACCTTTGGCTTTCTATCTCCCTCTCACAAATCTTTAAAAGGTCCACCAATTTTGACTTTCCACCTTGGGGGGGGATTTGGATTGGAAAAATGGTTCTTGGAATTGGGGGGGGGCACAAACTGCCCAACTCTGATCTAGCTAATCAACCAGGATTCTGGGGAAGAGATAAGCAGCAACACCAGGACAGGAATCTTCATAAAGATTCAAGATGGGGAACTTTAATTTTGTTCCCCCAGCATTTTGAGGTAAATTGTAGTTGGATATTGTATAATTCTATTCTTTTATGCTGCCTTCTATAGGTTTTCTAGCTCATCCCAGCTGCCTACATGCTTTTTTCTCCTTTGGGGCAGAAAAGTGTGGCCGTCATCGAGAAGACACTTTAAAAGTCAGGAGTTCACACTGCCGAAGTTCACACTGAGGACTTAAACATATACCAAAGGAAAAGTTTTACTTTCAAAAGGTGTGTGCAGGCGAAAGGACAGGTATGTACGTGTTTCTGTCCTCTGGTTTATTATAGGTGGGTGAAAACACCCCATTTTTATTGTGCTGCTTTTTATACTAACTTAAATTAATGCTAAAACAGGTCTATAGATTTGTTAGCTTCACATCCTAACACTGTAAAAAACACTTTTAGAAGAACAACTGTGCAATTACCTGTACATAAAGGCATTGTTTAAATATTTAAAACATTTTGTAAAATGTTCTTTAAAGCAAGCCTATCAGAAAAGTGATTTCCTGAAAATCATTTCTTTACGATATTTTTATGCTGCCTATTATGCTATATCTCTCTCCAGAACTCATCACTTAAACAATTTCATCTAGTGGGATCCAAGAGACATGTTTCTCTATTGCTGTGTCTGCCTTATGGAACAGTTTGAAATGTGGATGGCCCTGTTTCTGCTGTCTTTCAGGGGACTTTTAAAATCTGAATTTTCCCTAGGCACTAAGTCTGGAGATTTTGTGCCCATCTGCATTGTTCTTGATTGGATGAAGTTGGTCATGATATGCTTTATTACTTTTAATATACGTTTGGTCATTGTCAGATGCAAAGTACCTGGAGGATACATTAAGCTGAAGTTCAGAAGATTTATTTCTCAAGCCTATACACAAGAATCTAGTCAGCTAAAAGTTCAGCACTAAATTGGCACCAAATAAGGGTCAGCGGAATTCAAGAGGGGTTGGTCTTAGACCGTTTATGGGACTATAACGACTCTAGGCTGATGTTTAGCTTCGCCTACCCAGCTCTGGCTGCCCCGTCTCCTGCAGTCATTATATGTGATTTCCGTTTGTGTGTGCTGCCCTAAATCACTTCCTGATTAGGTAGCTATATAAACTGTTCAAATACATACCAACTATAAAACACTTTTTGCATCATTTAAAAGTTGCTAATAATTGTCATTGTGGAAGAGAAAACAGAGTTCTTATCCATTCCTTAAAAATCTCTTTTGGATTCTAAACAATGGCTAACAACTGCTGCCATTTGTATAATGTCTCATTCGGCACAATTATGGCATTGATTTATCTCTCTGTATGCTTAAATGAAACTTTTAGGCTTTAATTGCATTGAGGACTAAAAACTTTTTTTTTTCAAATGCCAAACCAAGGAGGATTTAGTAATTGAGAGTAAAGTTCTGTTATCTAGGTCAGGATGCTGAGAGTGTTAATCTTTACATAGCAAGTGCATTGCCTGCTCATCAATCGCGAAGTTGGTAGCACGCCCACAGGGGCTTATGCAAGCCAGCCAGGGATCTCCCAATTTGTGGCATTTGGAGAAAAGGTTTGATGTCACTCCATTAATAAACACAGATTTAGGAGATGAGTTGTGGGCCTCTTCTCAGAAACCCCTCATATGAGTATGATGATAACATCATATAAAGGTCATCTCCTAGGAAAGCCATTGTGGGAGGGAAAGTTACATCTTTGATGTCTAGTAACTGAGGAGGCAGAAACATCTGGGAGTGTTTTTTTTTATTCCTTTCCCTCAGAGCTGGCTTTAGATAATGACCATACTTTGAATACTTTATAAAATTCTGGGCATTTGCACTTTGTGAGGTTGCATCATTGCTGGAGACTACACAAAAGACAAAATGGAGCACATTTTCTTTGAAGATGTGTTTCTTAGCTTGGCAGCCTCCAATATATTGAACTATGAGGCTTGCTCATTGGGATGGTGGGAGTTGTACTTAACCAAAGAGAGGACTGGGGTGTGGAAGACAGTCTGACTTAGGAAATTATCAATGACAGAAAAGGCATCTCTTAGACAACTAACAGCATCAAATGGGTAGGAAAATTGCTTCAGAGATCTTCATTAGCACTCAGCCTTTGGTCAGCAAATTGCACAGACGCTATAGTGTGGTAAAATGCATTAAGTACCAAATTAAATTAAATCTTTATTACAATCAAGACCATCACAAAGAAGGTGGAGTACAGTTATTAAAAAAGCACAAAGGGCAAAAATCTAAATCATAACCCAAAACAACTGTAGCACTTGAATTGACAAAATCATCCTCTGTCAATTACTAAAGGCAGCTTTACTGGGAACACCTTTCATCCTGAGTGATATAACTGTAATACCATCAACCCTCCAGATTTGCCTATCCCAGGTCCTTGGTAAGGACTCAATAGGTAGACGATAATGTCAAATCCAGTCTCTGCAGTAACTGTTGTGACTGATGGTCATGGATAGCCTTGTGCTCCCTTATCTATCTTTCAGTTGGCATAAAACAGGCTCTAGGTCTAGCTGTCTCAGGACAACCTAAGTTCTTACGGACTGGAAAGAAAAAGTGGGACTTTTAAATGCAGCTGAATTTGAACCCCACCTTTGAGATTCATTATAAATTGAAAGATACACAGAGGTAGAAGCAGAGTAGAAAAGGCACAGTAGGCAGAACTGAAACTGAATTATGAAAATTAACTTTTTGTCTCTCTGGTTTTGTCTGTGCACGAGGCTGCTTCCCCCAGTCCACCACTTCCCACATCCATTTTCCTTCTCTGAGAAGAGAAGGTATTAAGCTATGCTTTGTGAAAAAACAGGAAGCAAATGGTTCCAGTCAGCAATTTGCAGAAAAACATGCCCAAACATTTTGAAATTGAGCATCCCTGTAACAATTAAAAGGACATTTGGGGCAGTGTCTCGATAATAACTGTATCCGTGTTTTACATGTGGAATGTGGCTTCGAATTGCCACTTTCTTGATGTGAAGAGTATTTAGTGGCAGGGTAACCTTAACAAGTATGAAAGGATAATACAGGTTTAGTTATTGTTTTTTTATGGACTTTTTCTGGTCAAGCAATGGAAAAATGGCTTGCAGTATTTTCTGCCTCAAGCATTCACTGGAAACACTTGATCTGTATGAGGGAACAAGAGACACGTAGGTGTTTCGGAGGAAGGGTTAAATTTGCAAACCATTGCAACACAAGCTCTTACCCTTGGATATTCATCTGTGCAACATTAGTACAAAAGGTGGAGCTTGTGGTATGACATCACAACAAGCCTTTCACTATTTTTATATT